CAAAAAATTTTGTGTTAAATATTTAACACTTTTCTGTGTTAATTTAACACAATAAATGTTAAATTTACACATAAAAGTGTTTAATATTTAACACAAAATTTTTTGACGCAATGACACAAAATTTTTTACTGTGCAAGCAAACACAGAACTACAAATACGAATATTTCCCGTGTTAATGTCAATGAATCTGGTGGGAAGAGCAAACATTAAACATTTAACGAAGAATATTTAATTTTAAATAAAAAACCAGAAATTGCGCAATAGTTTTTTAACAAAATAGAAATTCCAATTGCACAATATCGGAATCGGATAACATATATATTTAATTAAAACAGCTTCAGAGGTCATATTTCCGTTTCACCATTGTCAAGATAATTTATTCCTTGTATAGTAATTTAAAACTTTACTAATTGATTAAATTTAATAAATCCGCAAAGAAAGTAGTCCAGAAAATTAAAGAAGAAAAAGAATTTTTTCTTACACAGAAAAAAAATTCACTTTTGAGCCAAGAAAATATTTTCTTAAAGAAAAAATTAAATATAAAGATAAAATTTGCCCTGACCAAGAATCGAACCCTAAACTTTCCCAATAATACTTAAGCGACTTTCGCAACTCGCCAATGCAATTTTCTTTACCTACGTCGGATTGAAAAAATAAAAAAATGCACTTAAAGAGAATTTAATAGCGAATAAGTTAATTTTAATTAATATTTTTATTTATTAAAATAAAATAATATAAAATGGGTATCAAATATTCTCGAGAAAAATTTCCAAGAAGTTTTTACTCTTTTTACAATCTTTTCACAAGCGAGCAATATAATTTTTTACCAAAAAGTTGTTAATTATAAACACTTGTAATTATTACTCTGCTGACTCGTAAATCCTCTTTTTGTCAAATTACAATTTAAAGACAGAAAAAATGTAATTTTTTTTTAGAAACTCGACTAAGTATTTTTACAGTAAAATCCATAAATATCAAGGCATATAATTCCTTAGGCATTAGCTGTAAAATCCTTGTTGCTAAAATAAAAGTACCTGAAGCAAGTGGGTGCACTTTCTTCCCATTTTTTTTTTTTAATAATAAGATATCCAATATATAAATATATATTTACCCATACATAAATACATAAATACGTAAGGCAATCGCCTCACTCACTTTCGAGGTCAATGTCTACCGGTAGATTGTAAATTGTTCCACCATACCAGCACAATATTAAATATATATACAACCCATTAAAGTTTCTGGTGATTATATCTTCAATTTTATTTCCTTTCTATCTTTCAAGAATTTTCACCAAAAATCTTTAAGAATGATTTTAGAAAAATTAACTAAACTTTAAGTTTTCTAAGAATTAAAAAAAAAATAATATATTTTTTTCAAAAAATAATGTGAACTAAAAATAAAAATTTTGCTCATTAAATAATGAATTTTATTAAAATGCAGTGTAATTTCTTAAATATTGACATTTTTTAAAGTATAAGCTCATCCCGATGTTATACTTATCAAGAGCTTTCATTTGAGTACCCACATCAAATTTTCACATATTTTTCATATATACACGGAAAGAACAAGATGACACTGGATACCATCTCAGATATACTCAGTGACATCTGCAGGCCGCTGAGCGAAGGAAAATAGGAACAAAGGATAAAGTGTCCAGTGAATTTTCCGAATTTCGTAAGCCGTTTATACTGCGATGCGTGGTATGTGCCCGAGAAATTCCAAGGGGTGGTGGTGGTGGTGTCTTATACGTGCCAATCGGATGGACAAGCAACTTAGTGGACCCTGCAATAATCCACGGATACACAATAATCCTCGGGAAGTTAACACACTACACACTCACACATGTTAACTCTGAAACTTTTGAAAAGAGTTGATAACTTTGGCGTCGGTGATTGCTTGTGTGTGTCTTTCAATCCCTCAGTATCTCACGGAAGAATTTTTTTTCGCACAAAGTGTGGCTCCATCTCCTTCCTTTCCACGTGAGGAAATCCGACGCTGGCCGTCAGCCAGATAATGCAAGAAAAGCACTTTAAAAGCTCCTTGGATTTAACAAGGATTACGCGAGATGCTGATTAACAACAATAACGAAAACAATATTAAATTTTTTTTAATTTAAAATTTTTTTAATGGACAAAAAAAATTCCGACAATTTTTAATTATAAATATTTGAAAGGTAATTAATTTAAAGAAGCTACACGGAAAGAACAAGATGACACTGGATACCATCTCAGATTATACTCAGCGACATCTGAGGAGAAAAAAAAATTTTCAGATGGTAGCTAGTATAATCCAGATTATACTGAATAATATCTGGATTATACTCATTGTAATCTGGATTATACTCATTGTTATCTGGATTATACTAGCTACTATCTGAAAATTTTTTTTCACTCAGTATAATCTGGGATTATATCCAGTATAATCTTGTTCTTTCCGTGTATATCATATATTTTAAAGATATAAGCTCATCCTGATGTTACACTCATCGAGACCTTTCATTTGAGTAGCTACATGCATTTTTGATATATTATTCATATATACATATATATAATATATATAAATATATAAAATATATGAAAAATTGATGTGGGTAATCAAATGAAAGGTCTCGATGAGTGTAACATCAAGATGAGCTTATATTCTTAAAAATGTCAATATTTCACAAGATACAAGGTCATTTCTTAGTTATGTATCCTTGAAACAAAATTTTTTTTTCTCTCAATATAAATTTTTTTAAAAATAATCCCTAAAAATAAAACAACCCTAACCTCGAGTTTACAATAAAAACTAACCTATTAACCCGGTAAAAAAGTCAAATCACTCTTTAGTACGTAATTCAACTAAAAGAATGTAAATGATGAACAATCCGCCGAATGAAAGGCAATTACCATATATTTGTATAAATAGTTACCTAAATTTCAAGATCACATTGGTAACATAAATTCGGCATTGTGCCGACTAACCTCAATTTAAAATTAAAATATTGCCCTAAAATAAATGAAATAAATAAAATTAATAAAACATTTAACGATATATTATACTCCTTATAGACAAAACAGCGAAAGTAAAATTTCTCGAGTGTAACGAGATGTTATTCGAGACTACATCAAGAGAGAGTGAATGTTTTATTAACCAGACACGCTATCTGGTATTAACTAGGAATTCCGGTTTTCATTTTCACTCATACGTTTTTTATAAATAATTTAACAATTAATAAATAATAAAATAAATTAATAAATTAACAATAAAACAAATCTTACCTGATACTAAATCCATTTAATTTTTCAAGCAAAAGTTATCTTATTGTAGAATTGTAGAAGGGTTCCGTAAGGCGGCCATTACTCTCCGGTAAATCAATACAGTGCTAGACATGGCGGCGAATTCAATTCATGAATTCGTCTGTTGGATTTTACGCTCCAGTAATGTAACACGTGGAGCTAGTATAGTCAATAGCCATAGCGGAGCATTTAAAGTGCTTATTAGGGAACTATTAGTACCGACCAGACAAGACAGGGTTCGAATCCCGGTCAGGTAAAATAATTTTTTATTCTCCAGAATTAATTTTTTTTTAATAAGGTGATTAATGGGTCTAGGAAATTTTTTAAAAATAAACTAATTAAAAATTATTAATCTTCGATAACTCCCGAGTAAAATGAGCCGTCTCACGACTCATTTGGTCGCAGGTCAATTTTGATTAATGGTCTATAGATCATTTGATAAATTATTAATGCGATTTTTGGTAGGAACAAATATTAATCAATAAAGCTTGTAGGTACTCATTTTAATCAGGATTTAAAGATCTAGGTCGCAGTATTAATAATTTTTAATAATTTCGATTATTCAAATTTATAAATTTTTCATATATTGTTAAAAAAAAGATCGAAGAAATTTAAATATTTAAAAAAATTCCTTTTCTAACGAAAGTTGTTAAGAAAGACGTTTGTAAGGTTTGATGGTTAACTTTATTTTTAAATAATTAATATTTAATATTAGACAGTAATTTTTTTTTTCATTTTTTAATTAATTAGAATTTTATAAAAATTTATATTGTTATTCTTATTACAGATTTATTTAAAAATAATTTAATGTCAATATTTAGACTCTAATTTTTAATATTTCTTGCTTGATAGGGAACTATTAGTACTGACCAGACAAGTCAGGGTTCGAATCCCGGCCTGATCAAATAATTTTTTTTTTTTTTTAGATTTTTATTCGGCGTACTGCCGAAGAAGTATTAGCTGTATGTATTATAAAAAAAAAAAACACGTGGACCTTAAAAAAAAAAAAAAAAAAAAACGTAAAAATTGAGGCCACGGTAAGAAGGAGAAGATTTAAAAGCTGGTACCGTTTCTTCGCAAGAGTGTCAGCGTATCTCGACAGAAAGAGAGGGGAGAGTTTGTAAGATTTGAATATAACAAAGACGGAGGTAAATTTCTACTCTTCCTTTCCAGCCGAAGCCGATCAAGGTCGAGAGTTCCAACCGTCATTGATTACCGCTAGGAACTTTCTTCGAGATGATTGATCTTCCGTGAAGGTAATCCTCTTCTCACGAGACTCGGTAGAAATAATCGTCATCACGAATAATTGTTGTGTTGTTGAGGCTGCAATCGATTGTTGTGTTGTTGATAGGTAAATTGGCTTGAGCTTCCGCAGGACAATTCACCTAAGACACTTTAATTGAAGCTTAATATGACAAAATTGATTAATAGCTTTTGTTTTTTAATTTTTAGTCAGTCGCAGTTAGATTCTTAAGAAGAAATGAGGTTTACGGTTATTTTTTTGCTCCTTCGTATTGGATTTGTTTATGGGTAAGGTTTTTCTAGAGGAATTTTTTTTTTAAACTATATAATTATATGATAGTTTGTATAGTATACATTTTTTTAAAAAAGATAATTATATATAGTTTCTAGAAAATTCTATACAATTTTTTTTAATAGAAAAATTTATTTATTTATTAAATTGTACTGTATTTTCTTAACTATTGACATTTTTAAAAATATAAGCTCATTATGATGTTATACTCATCAAGACCTTTCATTTGAGTACTCACATGCATTTTTCATATATTTTTCATATATATGTATATATAACATATATATCAAAGATATAAGCTCATCTTGATGTTATACTCATCAAGAGCCTTCATTTGAGTACCCACATGCATTTTTAATATATTTTTCATATATACATATATATATATATATATATATAATATATATAAAGTATATAAATATATAAAATATATGAAAAATTGATGTGGGTACTCAAATGAAAGGTCTCGATGAGTATAACACCAGGATGAGCTTATATCTTAAAAAATGTCAATATTTCCCAAGTTACAAGGTCATTTCTTAATTATGTATCTAAATTTTATTCCTTAGATTATACAAAACAAAAAACAAAACCGTGGGCCCAGAAGTGGTTCTCCCTTCCACTTATATAAAAGGTAAGATTACCCCCACCCTACTTGAAGAAATTTAAAAAATTTCTTCTTTTTTTAGAGATCCGACCGTCTTTAGAAGAAGGCAAGCCAGTGGAAGTAGACTTCAAGATTTTTGTCGTCGATATAAACTCGATCAACGTCGAGGATATGGACTTCCGAGTGGACTTGTTCATCCGGCTAAGCTGGACAGAAACAAGGCTGCGAATGTCCGAAGAGATTTTTGAGATAGGCGATGACTATGTGACCTTGCCTCCAGAATTTTTTGACAAACTTTGGCAGCCTGACCCTTATTTTCTCAATTCTAAAATTGCAGAAATAGCGACGCTAACTCACAAATTCTCCTCGGTAACTTTGTACCGTAATAAGACAGTGACATATTCAGCGCGAATGCACGCAATTGTTGCTTGCCAGATGGAGTTCCAATTGTATCCAATGGACATACAAATCTGTCCTATTTACATCGAAAGTTGTAAGTAATTTTTTTTATTCAATTATCTTTAATATTATCCTAAAAATTTCTTAATATTTGTTTAGTTTCATACAACAGCCAAAAATTGCAATTAAAATGGGCGTCAACTGGCGTGACTGTTAATCCTGAATTGAAGTTATTACAGTATAATTTTGGAGAGCCTCAATTATTGCAAGAGATTCATAGTTACGTCACTGAAAAATTAGGTAAGTATAAATAATTATTTTTCTTAAAAAAAAAAATTATTTATCAATTTTAATGTAGTAATAATGAAAAATGCAACGAAAAAGGGGCGTGACTACGGTTGCTAGGCAATAGTTGCTAAGGGCGTGGCTAATTATACTTAGGGGCGTTGCTAAGATGTAGAAGCGTGGCTAATATTCCTTAGAAACGGTTGTTAGGGGCGGTTCTGACGTTGCTAGGCAATGATTGCTAAAGGGCATTCCTAAAGTTACTGAGGGCGTTGATTAGGATTTTAAGGGGCGTTTTTATAGTTTCTAAGGGCGTGACTAACGTTGCTAAGTTACAATTGCCAAATGAGCTCTGTTAAGAAGGCGTGGTTAGAATTACAAAGGGCGGTGCTAAGGTTGCTAGGCAATAGTTGCTAAGGGGGCGTTTCTAAAGCTACTAAAGGCGTGGCTAATGTTGCTAAGGGGCGTTTTATCATTTTTAGGGGCGTGAATGATGTTTCTCAGGTTATGTTGCTAAGGGGGCGTTTCTAATGTTGTTAGGGGGCGTGACTAAGGTCGCTAGACAATTGTTGCTAAGGGGCGTGGCTAATATTGCTTAGAACGGTTGCTAGGGGAGTTTCTAAGGTTACTAAGGCAATTTCTAACGTTTATAAGCAACGGTTGCTAACAACGTTGCTAAGGGGCGTTCCTGAAGTTACTAAGGGCGTTGATTAGAATTCTAAGGGGCGTTTCTAAAGTTACTAAAGGCGTGGCTACTATTTCTAAGCAACAGTTGCTAGGGGGGCGTTCCTACAGTCACTGAAGGCGTTCTTAAATATAGAGGCGTGGATAATGTTGCTAAGGGGCGTTTCTAAGGTTGCTAAACAACTGATGCTAAATTCGTTGCTAAGGGCGTGGTTAATGATACGTGACTAATATTTTTAACCAAAAAAAAATTGTTTTGGACTAAATTAAGTCCAAATTTGAAGTCACAAAAATTACTATCATAATTTTTAGGAAATTATTCAAGACTAATAGTCTTCTTCCGATTCGAGCGTCAAATCGGGCACCACTTGATCCAAACCTTCGCGCCATCTACTCTAGTGGTAATGTTGTCATGGTTCAGCTTCTGGTTGGGATTAGACGCCATTCCAGGGCGCGTTACCTTATTGGTCACCAGTATGTTGACACTAGTGACGATGTTCACCGGCTTAAAGAGCGATATTCCGCCTGTCGCCTATGTTAAGGTAGAAAATTATCTTACCGGTATAAAAAATAAGTTTCTAACCTTACTAATAAATTTTAGGCTCTAGATTTGTGGATGGCAGGTTGCATGGTCTTCGTCTTCGCTTCCTTAAGCGAATTCGTCGTGGTAAAAGTCATCGACGCTCGGCAGAAGCAATTAGAGTTGCAATTAAACAACTTACGAGCTTACGTAATTATAATTATTTTTTAAAAATTTATTTTATAGGTTAAATTAATTATAATTAACTCTAGAGGGCGTCAGTAGAGCGCAGTGTCTCCATCTGGGACTACGAAGCGTCGCTGGACCTCGAGCCAAAGCGCAAGCGCGGCAGCGCGGATCTATTGCAGCCAACATGGCTGGACTTGGAGTTGCTGCGACCTCAGCGCACTCTGTCTAAAAAAATTGACTACTACAGTCGGCTTATTTTTCCCTCTTTGTTTTTACTCTTTACAGTTCTATACTGGCCTATAGTTATCTTCAAAAAACGCAATTAGTCTAACAGGTTATGGGCCCAGGGTTTAGTAATAATACCTAGATTTAAAAAAAGATTTTGTATTGATAAAGTATATTTACAAGAAATAATTAATTTAATTATAATAATGGTTTCAATATTAATCTTCATCCATTTTCATGAGATTTAATGAACTTTCAGACTCGTTGTCGGAATCATCTGTAGGCTTGGATTTAAGCTTTGCTGTTCTTATTATGTACTCGATTGTATATTTATTGAAATCACATCTAAAAAAAAAATTCAAAAAAACTTATTAATAAATTATTTATAAGTAGAAGAAAGTTAAAAAAAAAATTTTTTAAACTTGTGGCTAAGGAGGCGTAGCTAGAGTTACTAAAGGCGTGGCTTAGGTTGCTAAGGGTGTGTCTTAAGTTTCTAAGCAACAGTTGCTAGGAGCGTGGCTTAGGTTGCTAAACAATAGTTGCTAGGGGCGTGACTAATTAAACTAAGGGGCGTTGTTAAGATATTTAGAGGCGTGGTTAATGTTGCTAAGTTACAGTTAATAAATGTAATCTGTCTAGGAGGCGTGGCTAAGGTTGCTAGGTAATAGTTGCTATAGGGCGTCGCTAGGAGGCGTTTCTGAGGTTACTAAAGGCGGGGCTAGTATTTCTAAGCAACGGTCCCTAACTGAGTTGCTAAGGGGCGTTTCTAAAGATACTAAGGGCGTAACTAAGGTTTCTAAGGGGTGTGTTTATGGTTTGTAGGGGCGTGGATAGTGTTGCTAAGTTATAATTACTAAGGGGGCATTATTAGATTTTTTTAGGGAACATTTGTGAGATTGTTAAGCAATTGTTACTAAAATCGTTGCTAGGGGCGTGTCTATGGGTTGCTAAGGGGTATTTCTAAAGTTGATAAAGTCGTGGCTATTATTTCTAAGCAACGGTTGCTAAGGGGCGTTTCTAAAGTTACTAAGGGCGTGGCTAAGGTTTCTAAGGGGTGTGTTTATGGTTTGTAGGGGCGTGGATAGTGTTGCTAAGTTATAGTTGCTTAGAGGGCATTACTAGAGTTGTTAGAGGGCGTTTCTAAGGTTGCTAATCAACTGTTGCTAAAATCGTTACTAAGTAAGTGTCAAGGAGTTTGTAGGGGGCGTCTTAAGGTTGCTAGGGGCGTTTCTAAAGACATAACTAATATTTATAAGTAACGGTTGCTAACATCGTTGCTAAGAGGCGTTTTTAAGGTTACTAAGGGCGTGGCGAATGTTCCTAAGGGGCGTTTTTATCATTTTTAGGGGGGCGTGGATGATGTTTCTAAGTTACAGTTTCTAAGGGGGCGTCACTATAGTTGTTAGGAGGCGTTTCTAAGTAACTGTTGCTAGGAGGCGTGTTTATAGATTTATAAGCACTAATTAGGGGTGTGGCTAAATAAAGGGGATTAAATATTTAATATGAATAATTTTTTCTCACTAAATTATATCTAAATAAATATTACTTACATTTTACTGAGATCATCATACTTTTGCTGCATATTTTTCTGAAGAGTCAACAATGACGTGAGTTGTAACGGTGACAATTTATGTCTACATTTACCCAGAATAATTTCCGCGAATATCAAATAAAAGTGAATATGCCTCGTCCTCTCTAATTCAACACCGACGAATTTCAATAACCGGTCGATGTAGACTTCCGATAGTGACGTAACAGTCAGTTCCACTGTAACAACAATATTCATTAGCATCAAAAATTTTTTTTTTTGTTTTTTTTTTTTTTTTTTTAACTTACCATCATCAACAGGCACAGCTTCAACAACAAAGCGAATGATGTCCTTCTCATTCAACCTAAGCGCCATCATGAGCGCTTGGGAGAATTCTTGGTCCTCAACCTTTTCCCTGACTGCCTCGGGAGTGATGTTGATCTCCAACATAAAGGGATCAAACATATCCCCGGAGTCGACTTTGTAGATCAGTAGGCCCTCTGTCGTCGCAGCGGCCCAAGCTAGCCCCGTGGGAGAAAACTGAAGCTGGAAGACTCTAACCTCAGGTTTAGTACCTCTGCTCGCCATATCCCCACTCTTGACCCCCGGGAGCTTGATATTGACGCCATCTTGTCGTTCATCAACCAACGCGAGGTTTCCAAACTCGGTGATCTTCCTGCGGTTTATAAAATCGTCCACCGCGTCTAGAGACCTATTTTGGGTAATTTCGAACTTCTTAACCAAAACTTGCTCCCTTACGTCGTAAATACAGACGTTCTTACTAGCGCCACCTGCCAGGATGCACTGGCCATCCGCAGAGTAGCACAAAGAAGTGAAAGCTTTCCCCGCGAGGTTTTTTTTGGCTGTTATCAAGTCAGTCTCTGATCTTCCGGCGCCTAAGTCATTCCTGCCCTCTATCGAGCCCGTTTGCAACGAAGTCTTGACATCGAAGAAACTTATTGCGCCATCTAGCGTAGACACTGCGACTTCTTTACCGTCGGGCTTGTAGATCACTGCCAGACCGTCGGAGGTTAAGTTTATAGTCTCGTGCTCGGAGTTGTTCTCAATTGCGTTCCAGAGTTTTAGAGTCTTGTCCCAGGACACTGACGCCATGCTGCTGCTCCCTGGGCTGGTGGTGAATGCTAAGCTTGATACTGGCCCAGTGTGTCCAGAGAGAACTTCGAGCAAGGTGCCGAGCTTCATGCTCCACAGGTAGATGTCGAAGTAGTCCTGACCTCCTGCTGCTATGAACTCGTTGGAAGAGTCCAATGCTAGGCAGGAGAACTGGACTGGGCGGGGGGATGTTAATGTCTTGAAGTTTCGGTATCTGGAGAATAGGCATAGTTTGTTAAATATTGAAAATAGAGCTGGGGTATACGAACGTTTTTTGTAGGAAATTTTGTAAGCTACAATTTTTGTTTGGATAATTTTTTCCTAAACTTAATATTTTAGGAGTTATGGCTATTTTTATAGTGCCTAAACCATGATTTATAATTTTTAATTATCTAATTCCTATATAAGTTCCTATATCTCCTAAAATATTGAAAATAGGCTCCTATAACACAAACATTATTGATAGGAAATTTCCTAAGCTACAATTTTAGTCTCTTATAAATTTTTCCTAAACTTAATATTTTAGGAGTTATGGCTATTTTTATAGTGCCTAAACCATGATTTATAATTTTTAATTATCTAATTCCTATATCTCCTAAAATATTGAAAATAGGCCCCTATAATATGAACATTATTGATAGAAAATTTCCTAAGCTACAATTTTTATCTCTTATGATTTTTTCCTATAATCAATATTTTAGGACTTATCACCATTTTTATAGTGCCTATCCTAAAATTTTCAATTTCCTATTATTTCGTTACAACTTAAATGGCTATATCTCCTAAAATATTAAAGATAGACCCCTATAATACAAACATTTTTCATAGGAAATTTTTTAAGCTACAATTTTAATCTCTTATAAATTTCTCCTAAAATCAATATTTTAGAAGTTATCACCATTTTTATAGTGCCTATCCTAAAATTTTTAATTTCCTATTATTTCATTACAACTTAAATGGCTATATCTCCTAAAATATTAAAGATAGACCCCTATAATACAAACATTTTTCATAGGAAATTTTCTAAGCTACAATTTTAGTCTCCTAAAATTTTCTCCTAATTTCAATATTTTAGGAGTTATCACCAATTAAAAGTAACTAGATCATAATTATTCTTTTTTCATAATTTAATTCCTATTAAAGTTCCTATATCTCTTAAAATATTAAAAATAGACCCCTGATACAAAAACATTTTTCATAGGAAATTTCCTAAGCTACAATTTTCCTCTAATAAATTTTTCCTAAAATAAATATATTAGGAGTTATCATAATTACCTTGTAAGATCATGCGCCCTGACAGTACCATCCAACGAAGCAGAAGCGACAAACTTCCTATCATTACTAAAAATGACCTCTGTGACCCTGGAACAGTGTTCCGAGAAAGTAGCGACACAGAATCCAGTGGTGGTGTTCCAAAGCTTGACCTTTCCATCATCCCCTCCAGTAACAATCCACAATCCATCTCCACTGTAAGCCAGACAGGTCATATCATGAGCGTGTCCTTGTTGTTTAAGAACATAGGTTTCACTTTGCCACTCCCAGACTAGGAGCTGCCCCAGGAGGCTTGACCCCAGAGCGATCCAGTCCCCGGAGGGGTTAAAGGTCACAGTGGACAAAGAATTGTTCGAGACGGACAGCGAGTGGATTAAATTAACCTCTGGCATTTCGTAGAGGAAGAAGGAACCGGTGCTAAAGCCTACGACGAGGATTTTTGAGGCGGCATGGTAGGAAGCCGTTGATGCGGCTACTGCGGAGTTGCCTTTTTTCTGAGTTTTAGCTTCGTCCGCAAGGTAGTGTCTGGAGGTTAATTTAAAAAAGAATTTTAGAGGTTCCTGCGGATCGTGCGGATTCTGCGGATCATTGATATTTTGTTGCTTTTTCAGGTTCTGAGAATTTTTCAGAGCCTGCGGATTGTGCGGATCAGATGGCCCCTGCGGATTGTGCGGATCGATTGGATCCTGCGGATCTCGTAAATTTTTCAGGCCTTTCAAATTTTTCAAAGTCTGCGGATCCTGCGGATTGTGCGGATCTTCCGCACAAATTTTTGAATTTTTCGCAAATTTCTTCGAAGCTTTAGTATGCTCAATCGCCGTCTCAAGATCGATGTCGTCCTCAGACTCGCTGTCTTCCCTCTTGACCTTCTTAGGAACAAAAGGCTTAAGATCCTGCGGATCCAGTGAAGCTTCCCAGAGACACAAGTGTCCGTTTTTCGCCAGAGTAAATAAATCGTAAGTCCCAGAAGATTCGAAGCTTACATAAATTATCTCGTCGCTGTGACCGCCGATGTTGCAGTACCGGAAGTTAGAAAACTTTTCCAGGGAGTAGAGTTTTGTAAAAGTGTCCTTGGAGCCTACTATTAAAAACCGGGAGTCCCAAGACCAGCTTAGGGTGGTGGTTTCGTCCACTGCGCTGTGGAAGACGCGCTTCATTTCGAACGGGTTGTAGGTATCTGTTTGAAGGCCAGGCGCGCTGAAGATGAACACTGGAAATTTTTAATGTTAATTATTAAAATTGCAATGTTTTTTAAGATATAAGCTCATCTTGATGCTATACTCTTCAAGAGCTTTCATTTGAGTACCCACATGCATTTTTGATATATTTTTCATATATACATATATATATATGATATATATAAATATATAAAATATATGAAAAATTGATGTGGGTACTCAAATGAAAGGTCTCGATGAAAGTAATGTCAGGATGAGCTTATATCTTTAAAAATGTCAATAGTTGACAAGATAAAAGATAATTTCTTAATTATGTATCTAGAACAACAATTTTAGTTTAATTTTTTTTTCAAAATCAATATTTTATTAAAAAATTAAATATAATTTTTTCTTACCATTATTTTGTTTGCAAACAGCAAGATACTTTCCATCCGGTGAAAATTTAATACAGCTGACTGGTTTTTTAAATCGGTACTTGTGAATTATCATTTTACTAATCATACTGATAACATGCGCCTCACCCTCTGTAAAAAAAAATATAATTTAGTATTTTTATTTAAAAAAAAAAAATATTAAAAAAATTTTTTCTAGTAAAAAATTACAATTATTTTTAATAAAATAATTTTAAATCAATAAAATATTTTTACCTTCATTAACAGCCACCAAAATATATCCATTTGGTGATAAATCAATTGCTGTGTAATTATATCGGCTCTCTACTGGCAATGTCGATGACTTGTGACTGTAATTAAATAAAAAAAATAAATTAATAATTATTAAATTTAATTATAAAATAAAAACTTACTTTTTTAAATCATAAATACTGATTCGATTTCCTACTGGGCTTATTAAAGATGATCCATCATTAGCGAATAATAAATTACCTTTACGGTAAACTGTGCTCAGCAAATTTCCAAACTAAAAATAATAATTAAATAATTAATTTTAAATAAATAAAATAATTAAAATACAATAATAAAATGTAAAGAATTATTTTATTAAATCAATTATTAAAAATAAAATTTAAAAAAAATTTTATTAAAAATTTTTAAAAGAAAAATTATTAAAAAAAATTTTATTATAAAATTTATGCATTTAAAAATTCAAGAAAAATTTTTTTTAATTTTTAACTGAAAAATTGAAGAAAAAAAAATTTTTTAAATAAAAATTGAAAAAAAAAAAAAACTATTTATTTTTAATTAAAAAAAAATTTATGCATTGAAAAATTGAAGAAAAATTTTAAAATAGAATTTTTAACTTAAAAATTGAAGAAAAAAAATATCAAAATTATTAACAAAAAAAAAGAACTAGATTAAAAAAAAAATTTTTTTTTAATTGAAAAAAGAATATTAAAATTATTAAAAAAAAATTAGTTTAGAAAACAATATATTTATTTTGAATTAAAAAAAAATTTAATTATAAAATTTAAACATTAAAAAATAAAAAAAAAATTTTATCAAAGAAAAAAAATTTCTTATCACCCTAAATAAACTTTAAAAAAATAAATAAACCTTTAGTAAATAAATAAAAAAAAAAAAAATCTCACCTTATAAGCAAACTTCATGATTACACAAAAAATAACCACTAAATTACCACGTGCTTTCCATATAAACCTCACTATCTCTTTTTCAAAATTTCCTCTTAGTGTCTCTCTTAAAAAAAAAAAATTAAAATTTATTTAAATTATTTTTAATTAAATTCACTCAAAAAATTAATTATTTAATAATAAAAACTCAAAAATTACAAATTATTATTAAAATTAATGTCATCAACAAGTCACGGGGTTCTAAAAACTCGCCCTAATTCCCTCGCGCATGCGCGGGAGTTCTGCGCCTGCGCAGAAGCTTTTTTTCCACCAGATGTCGCAAAAATCAGTGCCTTGGCCTGGTAATCGACGTCAGCTGCCTCGTTCTCGCTCTGATTGGCCGTTTCCTTCGCCTTGGAAGCTCTCCGACCAATAAACAAGCGCCTTGCTGTTTCCAATTCGTCACATGACGTCTTGGCTTGGCACTATAGACTGTAATACTGTAAAAAAACTCGACAACCAGCAGATACTTATTCATCCGTTGTTCTTGTTCTGGCTCAACAGCTACCGTGACAGAAATTTTAATTGTCTAGTTTAGTGAAGTGGGTGTGTACCTGTTTTTTTTAACAATTAATCATTAATATAATTATTTTTAAACAATTATTTTAATATTTAATTATTATTTTAGTTAAACAAAATCAAAATGAGCTCCCCAGCAGTACTTCCAGAAGACCGTCCGATTTACGGGCCATTTTTCGGCGTAATGGGCGCAGCCTCAGCTATTATTTTTTCCTGTAAGTACAATAATTAATTAACATTACAAATAATTACACTAAATTATTCAAAACTAATTTATTAATTTTTTTTTATCAAAAAAAATTCTAACAAAAATTTTTATTAAAAAATTTTTTTCACGTCCGCCATTTTGAATACTAAAAAATTTTTTTTTAGAAAAAAAAAATTACTTAAAAATTTTTTTTTAATAATATTTATTAAGAAAAAAAAAAAATGAGGGCGCCGGTGTCGAAAAAAAAAAATCAATAATTTAAATCACTAAATAATAATAATAGTGCGCATGTTCAAAAAAAAATGTAATTAAAAAATAATTAAAATTTTTTAGATAGATAAAAAAGAAAATTGATGAGATTATTTTTTTTAATGAGTAAATAATTAATAATTAAAATTGGAAAATTGTGCCACGCCCCCCGTCATGTGACGGCATGTGAGACTCATGTGACTTAACGGGTTGGGTTGTCTATTTATTTATTTATTTATTTTTTTTTTTTGTATTGAAAAAATTTTATTAAAATTTTTTGAAAAATTTTTTAGCCTTAGGAGCGGCGTACGGAACCGCGAAAGCAGGAACAGGAATCGCAGCGATGTCAGTGATGCGACCTGAGCTGATCATGAAGTCGATTATTCCTGTGGTCATGGCGGGTATTATCGCCATTTACGGGCTAGTAGTCGCTGTGCTTATCGCTGGAGGACTCAGTGAACCCTCTGCGGGGTACTCTTTGTATAAGTAAGTTTTAAGGGTCATCACTGGGTTAAGAGGGGTGGGGGTAAGATTATTGATTGATTATTTGAATGTTAGCGGGAGAAAATAAAGATTTTGTGAAGGAAAATTAAAATTCTAGATAAAATATATATAAAAAAAAAAAAAAAAAAAAACTGGCTGAATTTCAATATTTTAATAAAAATTTCAATTTTTTAACAAAAAATTTTAAGTAAAAAATTTCCTCATAATTCTAAAAATTAAAATTCCGGCTAAAATATAAAAAATCATCAGAAACTTTTTCTATAGAGAAAATTTTTCTCTTTCAATTTTTTAACTTAAAAAGTCAAAATTGTTTTATTATTTTTCTTAAAATTGAAAATATAAAAAAAAAAAAATTGGCTGAATTAAATGAATAATTAATCAACATAAAAATGAGATGATCTTTATAACCTGATTTTATTTATTTAATAAATTGGATTGGAATTATAAAAAAAAAAATTATGGAAATATTTTAAGATACTTTTTTTTTTTAAAGGAGAAAATTTTAGATAAATTTTGTAAGAATTTTTATTTTTTATCTTGGGAAATTGTTAAAATTTAAAATTTCTTAATTATTGATCTTAAAAATTAAAATTATGGGAAAAATATAAACATCATAAAAGATCATGAGGTATATATAAAATATATGGGGCATTCCATGCCAAATCGACCACTTTTGACACCGACCCTTTTCGATTTTTCTTAAATTAGTAACTTGGAAGAAATTTAGTTTATATTTTTACATGTCCGCGTGGCTATGCTATCAAGAGTTATCAAGAGTTATCAAAAGTTAACTAGATTAGGGTTTAAAATTTTCGATAAGTTCATTTTTAATCATTATTATGCATCAATCGAATCGTTTTCACATTCTCTACAAGGATTCTAGGCCAAACAGTTGATTAAATTATTAATTTGGAAGAAATTTAGAGTTTTCATTTTTACATGTCCGCGTGGCTATTGCTATCAAGACTTATCAAGAGTTATCAAAAGTTAACTAGATTAGGGTTTAAAATTAGGGGTGTGCGAATAATTCGAACTTACAAATTATTCGTTCCGAATCGAATAATTTGAATTTTCGAATTATTCGAAATTCGACGAACAATTCGAAAAAATTACGAATAATTCGAAAAGTTTCGAATTATTCGTCGAATGTTGATTAATTCGAAAATTCGAATTTTATGTACATGACGGGTATTTAGGACAATGTCCACTGATATTATTGAAAACGATTTTTTAAATCAATTGTTTTGAACCGTTTTAGTCTTCTAGTTGTCTGTTTGTTTAGTAATTCTGTTGCCATAGGATTTGGGTGGTTTTCTCGTCTGCCTTCGTATTTCACGCTCAGTCTCATAATTTGTTCCTTGATAGTCGGGATGCTCAGCTCTCTGCTTATTATTGCGTTGGATACATACCAGGGGGGCATTGACAATGTTTCTAATTGTTTTATTTTGAAATTTTTGTAGTATTTAGGATAATTTTGTAGATGTTTAATTTATTATTCAGCGAGAGCTTGGATTTTTTACCAAGTAGCCAAATGTAGCTAAATATAGCTATTATTGATTATTGATCTGATACATTGATATTTAATTTTTACAAACTGCTATATTGAATAGCTGTATTGATTATAATGAACTATATCAATATTTATCCAATATATCTATTATTGAATTTATTATATTAATTATTGTTTCAATAGATTGAAATTAAAATTAAATATAATTATTTTAATATTAAATTTTTATTTGATAAATTTTAATTATTAATTTGATGTATCAATTATTAAAAAAAATAAAAAAAAATATACATACTTGGAATAATGCACGTCCTTTACCAGGATAAGCGTCAGTAACATCTTCCTTCCATTTAATAAAAGCCTCTTCATCAATAATAGACAATTCGTAAAGCGCTACGAACCATCTTAGGAGCATGCCCTTGGGGAAATTATGAGACAGGCAAAAGACCTGCAATGAGTGTACGGCAGTAACCTGGGCATCGATAGTCACCAAAAATGATTCGAGAACGCGGGTGTATTTCTGCAGTAATCCACGCTCCTTTTCCTGCAGAGATTTTTCTGGCACTACTGTTGTGTCTGTCCCTGGAGATAATGTAGTTTCCTGTAACAAATATTATTTTATCACTATCGCCATTTTGTTGTAATTTTTTTTATCTAAAATAAAATTCTCTACAGCTTTTGTTTTAAAAATTTTTCTCTATTTTCAATATTTCACCTAAAAACTCAAATATTTAAGTTCTAGACTCTTCAATTATCAATACTCTAGAACTTCAAACTTAAAACTCAAAATCCAGCTAAACTACCCAAAATTTCTACAATACTTTTTAATTAAAAAAAAAAATTCTCAACAATTTTTGTTTAAAAAATTTTTCTCTATCTTCAATATTTAACCTAAAAACTCAAATTTTTAAGTTCTAGAATCTTCTATCAACAATTTTTTTTTATTATTCCTAACTTAATAATCAAAATTCCAATAAAATTGTCAAAAATTTCAAAAAATCATAAGAATACTTTTTTACCCAAAATAAAATTTTCTACAACTTTTGTCTCAACCATTTTTCTCTACCTTCAATATTTAACCCAATAATCCTATTTTTAAAGTTCTAGATTCTTCAATTAACACTCAAAAAGTCCTTTTAACTTAAATTTCAAAATTCCAGCTAAATTATCTAAAATTTTAAAAAATTATAAGAATACTTTTCGCTCTAAAATAAAATTCTCTACAACTTTTGTTTCAAAAATTTTTTTATATCTCTCATATTTAACCTAAAAATTTAAATTTTCAAGTTCTAGACTCTTTAATTAATATTCCAAAATCCCCTTTAAATTAAATTTCAAAAAATCATAATACTATTTAATCCAAAATAAAACTCTCTACAATTTTTGTTTTAAAAATTTTTCTCTATCTTCAATATTTACCCTAAAAACTCCAATTTTTAAGTTCTAGACTCTTCAATTAACATTCTAGAACTCTTTAAATTAAAAATGACAAATTCCAGCTAATTTATCAAAAATTTCAAAAAATCATAAGAATACTTTTCGCTCTAAAATAAAATTCTCTAAAACTTTTATTAAAAAATTTTATTATATCTCTCATATTTAACCTAAAAACTCAAACTTTTAAGTTCTAGATTCCTCCAACCTTAAAATTTAAAATCCAGCTAAACTACCTAAAATTTTTATTAAAAAATATTTCCTTGATCACTTACCTTGGTAATATACTGCAAGAGGACCGTCATGAGCGCATTAATAAACCCAGGATCGGCATGATGAGCGGGATGAAGTTTGTCCTTGATCCACTTGTAGAAGGCATTGGGACTGGGATCGCTCTCAAGCTGTCGACTCAAATCACCCTGGATCCTGAGCAGAGGATAAAGAAAAGTGAGCTCGCGGTCCTCAAGAATTTCCCCGAGCCTCTCCTTGGTCTTCTCAGCCTCCGGCAGCTGGCTGATGAGGTTGACCTTGCTGTCGTTGAAGATCTGGGTGAGAACAGCCTTGCCCTGGGTCTTGTGGAGCTGCTGGAGGGTCAGAAGAAACAGCGGGTGGTGAGCGCCATTTTCAGTGACAACAGCGAGGTCGTGGAGCTGCATCAGGTTGTTAACAATCGCCTTGCCGGTGATGCTGGCCACGTGGGAGGCCACACAAGGAACGGTGCTCTCCTTGTCAGCAATTCCAGCTACCAGCTCCTTCCAGCCGTCCATCGCGTGCACGCCCTGGATCACTCCCTCCTTCTTGAGCTCCAGGACGAATTTAACCGCGAACTCACGCTCTGAGTCTCCACGCTCCAGGGTGTTGGTATAGATCGCCGCAATAGCGTTCCTCAGGAACCGCTCCGGGATTTTTAAATCTTTAAACTGGGCCATCGCGTCTCCGAGGTTTATGTCGTCGATTTTTAAATCGTCCATCATCGCTGTGACTTTCTTGACTATCTCTTCCTTCGTTGGACCCTTGTCCTTTCGGTCCCGGGCCTTGTCTCGCTTGTCCAGAGGACCCTGCTTGATCACGATCGGCGCTGTGTCCTTGTGCAGCAGTGGCGGCGTCTTCAAGGTCGTTGCGCGCAACAGTGGCGCCTCTGTGCGCGCTGGGAACAACTCGTTTGTGATTGGTAATGATGGCTTCATTGTTGTTTGTTTGAAAATCATTGAAGTTGTGCTAGGGCGCAGGGACACTTCTTCTGGGTGTCCGATTAACATTTTGTTTTTGTTGAATCTAAAAAAATTTTTTTTATACTGCATTTACGCTTAAATATTAATTTTATTTTATTTTTTTATTATTAGGTGACCTTGAAAATTTATTAAAAAATTTTTTGATGTTAAAAATCAATGTAACAAATTTTTTAATAAAAATTTAATCGACAAAAATGATATTAAAATTCAATTGGAACAATTTTAGTTCCAGGAACGATCTTAATTTTTTTTTAAATTATTCTAGTTCTAAGAACAATCTTGGTTCTAAGATCGATCTTAATTTTAGAAAATAATTTTTATATATACGAACAATCTTAGTTACAGGAACAATCTTAATTCCAAGAACAATCTTAATTTAAAAAAAAAAATTATTTTTATTTTTAGGGACGATCTTAACTTTTGAAAATTATTTTAATTTTTCTGAACGATCTTAGTTCTAGGAACAATTTCAGTTCTAAGAATGATCTTAATTTTAGAAAATGATTTTAATATTTACGAACAATCTTAGTTCCAAGAACAATCTTAATTAAAAAACTTTTTTTTTTAATTTTAGGAATGATCTTAATTCCAGAAACGATCTTAATTTTTTTTTTTCAATTATCTTGGTTCTAAGAACGATCTTAGTTCCAAGAACGATTTTAATATTAGGAACGATCTTAATTTTAGATAATGATTTTAATATTAAGAACAATCTTAATTAAAAAGTTTTTTTTTAATTCCAGGAATGATCTTAATTTTTCTTTAATTATCTTAGTTCGAAGAACAATCTTGGTTCTAAGAACGATCTTAATATTTAAAAATGATTTTAATTTTACGAACAATCTTAGTTCTAGGAACAATCTCAGTTTTTAGAACGATCTTAATATTAGGAACGATCTTAATTGATAAAAAAATTATTTTTATTTCAGGAACAATCTTAATTTTTGAAAATTATTCTAATTTTATGAAAGATTTTAGTTCTAGGAACAATTTCAGTTCTAAGAACGATCTTAATTTTAGAAAATGATTATAATATTTACGAATAATTGTAATTCCAAGAACGATCTTATTTTTTAAAAATTTTTTTAATTTCGACGTTCAAAGTCAATGTAAAAAAATTTTAATCCAAAATTTAACTCCCAAAAAAAATTGATTCTAAAAATGACCTTTAAATTAAAACTAACTCTTAAAAAAATTTTTCTTGTGCATCGACATTAGAAATTAATTTACAGTTGAAAAAAAAAAAAAAAAAAAAAAAAACAAAAAAATACCTCAAACTCTGCTCCTTATTAGCATTGTTGTTGAAATTAGCATTAGGATGTGGAACCTTATTAGGATAGCTCTGCCGAGCATTAGGAAAGTAGTTCTGGTTCCTCCTGTAGCCGACATTGCCAGCAGCCTGTGGGTTCTGCGGAACATTGGGGAACCCGTTGGCATTAAAGGAGCTAGAAATTCCGAAAGATGGCGCTAGAGGTATATTTCCGACGCCAATGATGTCCATGTCGATGCCGGGGCGTCCGATTTTTCTAAGAAAATCATTGCCAATTCTAGAGTCGTCGCGATTGTTCCGATGATGATGATTATTGTATTGACTCTGAAGGTTCCTTTGCATGGAGTTCTGCTGAGCCATACCCAGTAGACTCTCATCAGCGTCGTTCCTAATTTGATTAATAGGCATTGGGCCCTCGGTAGATGTCGCCTTCCTCGGAACCCAGCCGTCGCGACGTAACTCGATAACGTCGCGCAACATGAAACGTATTCTCAGTGGCAGGTCACTGTTTTCAGCAAGTGACATCATACGTTTAAAGTACTGCTGCATGAGACCCTGGCCCTTGTTTGAGTCGAGGATCCTACCGCAGGTTCGCATGATCTGGCAAAGACACTCAATGTCCTCCGCAGTGTCCCCCCGGGGTCCACGGCGACGTTTTTCAGAGAGCAGCTGCATGATACAAAGGTGGAGAATTGACTCACTGACGATCTCCAATTTACCGAGCTCTCCGATGAATTTGATGTTGCCCAGCATCTTCCGTTTGGCCATCTGCCGGCGCTCTTCCTCCTCCGGCATGAGCTCATCTTGGTTCTCGAAGTAATCGTTTGCCTTTGATCTGTTCTCAAACTCGACTTTGCACTTATTGAGCAGCAACAGGCGGAAGGTACTCTGGGGCGTCTGACCGTCGACTGTCGGCTTTGGTGACTCGAAATTTGGCGCTTCGTCGGATAAACGCTTGCACAGCTGTGCGTACATAGAACTGTATTTCGGCTCATCGAGGGCTTTTTCGAAGATCTGGAATATATGGAACAATTTTAATTCTAGGAACAATCTTAATTTTTTAAAAATTATTTTAATTTTAGGAACAATCTTAGTTCTAGGAACGATCTTAGTTTTAAGTACAATTTTAATATTAGGAACGATCTTAATTTTAGAAAATAATTTTAATTTTAAGAACAATCTCAGTTCTAAAAACGATCTTAGTTTCGAGAACGATTTTAATATTAATAACAATCTTAATTTTAGAAAATAATTTTAATATTTACGAACAATCTTAATTAAAAAAAATATTTTAATTTTAGGAACGATCTTAGTTCTAGAAATGATTTCAGTTCTAAGAACGATCTTAATTTTATATAATGATTATAATTTCAAGAACGATCTTAATATTAGGAACAATCTTAATTAAAAAAAAAATGATTTTATTATTTACGAACAATCTTAGTTCCAAGAACGATCTTAATTTTTTTTTAATTATTTTAATTTTGTGAACGATCTTAGTTCCAAGAACAATCTTAATATTAGGAACAATCTTAATTTTTAAAAAATGATTTTATTTGATAAAAAAGTCTTAATTTCAAGAACGATCTTAATTTAATGTTTTAATTTTCAGAACAATTGTAGTTCTAGGAACAATCTCAGTTCTAAGAACGATCTTCATTTTAGAAAACTTTAAATTTAAAGAACGATCTTAGTTCTAAGAACTATCTTACCTCCAGGAACGATCTTAATGTAAAAAAATAATTTAAATTTCAAGAACAATCTTAATTTTTAAAACGATCTTAATTCAAAAACGAGATTCAAGAGTGAAAGAAGAAAGATACGAAAAAATTATAAGAGACCTTTTTTTTATAGAAAGAAATTTCCTACAAATTTTATCATAAAATTTTTTTTTTCAACCAATAATTTAATCAGAATTTTGAATTATAGTCTTTAAAAATTTTCAATTAAAATTTTTTATTTAAAATTTTGACAAAATGATTAAGAATCTATTTTTTTACAATTAACAATTCAAGATAAAAAAAAATCACAAAAATTTTTTATATAGAGAATAAAATTCCCTAAATTTTTATTAAAAAAATTATATCCTATGCCCCCAAAAAAAATCCAACTTACCAGTATAATAACACCTTTGAGAATAACATCAGAATTGAGTTCAATTTTGAGCAGATCGTTGCTCAGCTTTCCGAACTTTTCAGGTGTGAGCTTGTTAAGGATACCCCGTACCTTGCGGAAGATGAAATCATTTCTGTTTTCTGGGGTGAAAGCATCGCGTCTAACAGTTGAAGGAGGGATCCAGCGTCGCCCAGTGGATAGGGAGCGATTATCGTCCCTGGAAGGCATCGAACGTTTTTAGTCACAACTTTATCTTAATGCCTTTAATTGTTTTTTTTTTTTTTTTTTATTTTTTTTTATTTTAGTTTTATTTATTTCAGAATCCTGACCTTCCTCCCGAGACACGAGAAGCACCCCCCGGTCCTGTGGGGTTGTCCGTTGTTGCGTGTGTGTTAACGCCTTCAGTGATAAATCAGCACACAAAGTTTCTGGTAGCTAAAAATAAAAAATTCATTAAAATATTTTTTTAGTATTTATTAAAGTCATTGAGGGTAAAAAAATTCAAGGGGCGCGGCTCATGGTCAGACGGTCAATGAACTCGCGACGCTTCACCCTGACTAGCTGTTCCTGTCTATACGCTGGTAATGCTTCATATATAGGTAGTAAGTGTGTGTGTATCGCTGGAGCCCATTACAGTTTACATTGCTACGCACACTCGAGATTCATCCTTTTTTTTTTTCTTTTATATACTTGAATTTTTTTTTTTTCTTCTCAAGGAAATTATCAGGCAAGGTGAAATAAATGATATTGAAAATACAACAAGTTTACCGTGAACTACACACGTCATTGCGCCATCTTATGGATGAATTATTTATTTATTTTATTAATTATTATTTAGAAAAAATTAGACGGCAAAATTTTTATTTAATTTTTTTATTAAAAATTTATAATAAGGCATTTTAATTAAATTTTTTAATAAAAAATTTTTATGAAATTTTTGATAAAAAAATTTAATGAAATATTTGATAAAAAATTTTTTTAATAAAAAAATTTGATGAAATTCTGGCTAATAAAAATTTTTTAATAAATTTTTTAATAAAAAAATTTGATGAAATTTTGGCTAAAAAAAATTTTTTAATAAAATTGAAATTAAAAAAAAAAATTATTCCTAAAGTCATCCTAATTTCATTTTTTTTTCAAAAAAAATTACGTGTCAAAATTTTATTAAAAAATTCTGTTTTTTTTTTTTAAGAACTGTCAAAATTTTTATTTATTTAAATTTTATAAAATAAAATTTCTTTTTTTTTTGTTTAATATTATAAAAGTGTCAAAATAAATTTATTTATAAAAAAAAAAATTATAAATGTCAAAATTTTTTTAAAAAATTGTTTTTTTTTTTTTTTTTTTTTAAAAAACTGTCAAAATTTTTATTTAATTAAATTTTATAGAATAAAATTTTTTTTTTTTGTTTAATATTGCAACAAAGTGTCAAAATAAATTTTTTTATTTAAAAAAAAAAAATTACAAGTGTCAAAATTTCATCAAAAAAAATTTAGCTCTCAAAACTGTCAAAATTTCAATTTAATAAAATTAATTAAAATAAAAAAAAAAAGCCAAGTATAAAAATAGAGACAAAGGAAAAAATTTTATAATGAAACGTCAGATCTCGCGTGGGTTAAAAACCTCCGATAAAAAATTAATAATAATTAAAAAATAATTTAAGAAAAAAAGTGAGTAAAAAAATAAAATAAAATGTGAAAATAAAAATTGAAGTGAAAAATAAAATAAAGTGAATAAATTGATTGAAGTGAATAAAATGAATAAAATGAATAAAATGAATAAAGTGAATAAAATGTCGACTAAGATGGAAGATGGGCATGACGCATGTTAGTGGAATAAACGAAGAGACGACAGGAGAGAAATTACGGCTCCAGAAAATTCCACTGTCTTGGTGTTAAGTCTGGCATTACTCGGGTAATTATCACAACACAAAACTAATCACGATAACCGAACTTACCAACCTGGATTGGAGTTAGTTTAAAAGTTATTTTATAATATAATAGAATTATAACTGCGAGGAGTTGTACTTAAAATAATTATTAATATCACAAACTACTTACGGTCGATGCTCGATGTTGTTTGTGAAGGCTTTCGCAATCTGTCGGACACTCTCGGAGACTTCCTGCACTAGTGAACAGCCGAGTCATATCAGCAACCATTTTATAAGAAAATGGCGCTTTTTTTAAAGGCTTAAGCGACATCTTTGAAGTTGGCGGGAAAGTTGTTTAAATTTGAAAATTAAAAAAATTTTTTTTTAATTTGATATTAAAATTTTTAAAGAAATCAATTAATATTTAGTTAATTAATTAATTAATAATTTTATAAATAAATAAATAAATATGATTTTTACTTGTATACAACCTTAGTGTGTTTTTACAAGGAGAGGGTGGAGATTTTATTTATTCTTCCACTTTTTAGTCCTCACTTTTTTCACTCTTGGTTATACCTTTGTAACTATCACATTTATTTTTCCCCTTGTTTTGCACCCCCCACCCCCTCAGTGTGGTAGATTTTTTCTACCACACCTTAGTGCGTTCGAGGTAGCGGCTGTGGCCGACTTACATGTGCTGTACGCATTGGCCTGTGCCTGCCCATTTAAGCTTTAGCACAGTGACCAAGGAAAACCACAGAAAACCTGGTCAGTACAGTTCGGCTACGAGAGCGACCCTCAGCGGTTGTTGTTGAAATCAATTTTCTAACAACCGCTGGGGCTCGAACCCGCGCCTCTCGGCACGATATCTGTACAGACTAACGCATTAATCCGCACGGCTATCGCGGCCGATTTAAATAAATAAATAATTAACTTTAACAAATTATTTGTGTAAGTCCACTCAGTGTGGTAGATTTTTTTCTACCACACCTTAGTGCGTTCGAGGTAGCGGCTGTGGCCGACTTACGTGCTGTACGCATTGGCCTGTGCCTGCCCATTTAAGCTTTAGCACAGTGACCAAGGAAAACCACAGAAAACCTGGTCAGTACAGTTCGGCTACGAGAGCGACCCTCAGCGGTTGTTGTTGAAATCAATTTTCTAACAACCGCTGGGGCTCGAACCCGCGCCTCTCGGCACGATATCTGTACAGACTAACGCATTAATCCGCACGGCTATCGCGGCCGATTTAATAATTTTATATAAAAAATGTCAATATTAAAATTTTAATAGAAAATAAAAATAAAAAAATTTAATAGAGAAATTTTCTTAAAAAATATCAATATAAAAAATTAATTAATACTAATTTTATATAAAAAAATGTCTATATTAAAATTTTAGAAGATAATATCAATAAAAAAATTTAATACAGAAATTTTTTTAAAAAATATCAATATTAAAAATTAATTAAAAAAAATTTTTTTAAAGACTTTTTAATACAGTAAAAAAAATATTGGAGAAATAAGAGAAACTCAGTTTATTTTATTTTAAATATTATATTTTTTATTGAATCTCATTGAATCTATATATTTGATTATTCTTACAAATATAATCTTGTATATTATTTTAGTATTACATTTTTCAGTCAAGGTACTTGTTTTTTTGGTTAATTATATAAAAACTAAATCTTATTTTAATTATACAATCATTCAACCAAAAAAATTCAATTGGCATTGATCAGTCAAGATTAATTAAATATCTATAATTTATAAAAAATATAAGAAAAAGAATATTAATGAATTAATTTAAAAAAATAGTCTCAGGAAAAATCAATTAAAAATTGAAATAATTCTATAGAGCTCGGATAAGAGTCAAAAAATCATCATTATTTAAAAACTTGAATATATGATCAATTATATATCAATTTCTATTTCAGGAAAAACCCTATAAATATCACGTGTCTCAGCTTCTTTAATCATTTTCATCCTAGCTGAAGCTGCACTCAAATTTCTTAGAATAATCCCACCATAAATAGGATATCTCTCCAAAAAATCAGTAGATTGAATGATGTTATTTATTTTTGGGTTTCGTTTATAAACAGCCAATTCATGTGAGCTTTTAATAAGCAAGCTATAGAACGTGAGATTACAACCAATGTATTTCTTCTTTAACTCGGTTATCTCTTCACACGCTGTCTTTTTATAAGAGACTATAAAATCCTCTGACCAGTTGAAGCGACTGTAGTATTTATCAAAATACATACCAGCCACACGAATTAATTTCACTATTTCAATTGGACCAGATTCTATGTCCAAGTATTCTATAGCAAGCTTATTATCAAGACACCTTAAATTAACATCTGCACCATATTGCAACAAAATTTTGACTTTGTGGATGTTTGCAAGCTAAGTGAAGTGGAGTTAGAGCTATCTGATTTTTTGCATCAACATTAGCACCATTTTTAATTAATAACAATTCAAGGATACCTAATGTGTTAAGGCTCCAGTGATCAATTGCCAGATGCAGCGAAGAATCTTCTGACTTATTTAATTCATTGACATTTGCTCCATATTTTATGAGATTTTTCCCGGTAATTAATAACGGATCGCATAATAAAGCTGAATGTAAAATACTGCGGTGATTTTCATCTAAACTTTTGGCATCAGCTCCCTGTTTTAGCAAAAAAAGAATCATAGAATCAAGATTCGTCAGAATATGTCACTGCGTATTTAAAAGGGGTTAATGTATTGGGCTATTGGGCATTACTGCGTTAATATCAAGACCATATTTTAAAAAGGCACTGATAACTTTTTTATCACGCATTTCTAAAGCGAGACCAACCGGGGTTTGTTCATATTTGTTAGTTGTATTAATATATATGGAACAGCCTTTTTCCAAAAAAAACTCAATTACTTCAGAATTAGATTGACTCGCTGCAAAATGAAGCACTGTGAACCCACGAAAACAATAAGCACTGGATACGGCGTTGATATTAGCTACATGTTCTACAAGGCACTTAACGACAGCCAAGCAGCCGCTTAACGCTGCCCAATGAAGTGGAGTCATTCCTTCTTTATCAAAATCCACCTCCAGACCTTTAGCCAGCAAATTTTGGACAACTATCACGTTGGATGTAGCCGCATTGTGCAGCAGTTGATAATTCGGCCATTTTGAAAATGTCACATCTAAATTTGTGGATAATAATATTAACTCGACAATGGAAACGTGCTGAGAATCAGCGGCTAGGTCGAGTGGAGTCATATTTTGAGAATTTAAAGCATTGATATATCCGCACCATGATTTAGTAAAGTCTTTACGATCTCCTCATTGTACCCGTTTACAGCTGCTAAGTGCAATGGAGTATAATCTGTATTAAATTTGGTATTATTATTTACTTTGATGTCTTTGAACGTTAATAAATACTCAGCTAATTTTTTATCCTGTTTTTTCAGAGCCTCGCAGAGGAGCTAGAACATAACCTTGCAACCACAATTTATAGTATGATAATAAGCCATGCTTTTCTATAACTGATCTAGCTTTATCAATTTTCCCACGACGGATGTCACAAATCACCTCTTGTCCTAAATTTTGGCACTTACTTACTTTTTTTGATGTCATTTTCACTAATTATTTTTATTACCACCTTAACTTGTTGTCGAATGTTACAATATATGTCTAGACTTAAATTTCTACGGACCTAGGCGAAGAGACACGATCTTTGGCGAGATTCTACGAATCAGAACGTTAAATTAACCCGCGAAAATTTAATAACAAATGATACTCATAATAATAACTTTTATTATAAATAAATTAATTAATTATAATAAAAAAAATTTCAAGTACATATTTTTGAAAAAAATAATTTTTTTAATATTTTAATATTAATGTTGGGCTCAAATGTTGAATAATAAATTTTTTTTAATAATATTTTGGGCTCAATAATTTGAAAAATTAATTTTTAACATCAATTATGAGCTTAAAAATTTTAAAAATTAATTTTTTAATCAAGTTCTTGGCTCAAAAATTAAAATAATTAATTTTTAACATTAATTTTGGGCTCGAAGACTAAAAATTAATTTTTTGTTAAAATTTTTGGCTCGAAAATTAAAAAAATTAATTTTTAACATTAATTATGAGCTTAAAAATTTATTAATTCAATTCTGGGCTCAAAAATTAAAATAATTAATTTTTAACATTAATTTTGGGATCAAACACTAAAAATTAATTTTTTGTTAAAATTTTTGGCTGAAAAATTAAAAAAATTAATTTTTAACATTAGTTTTGGAATCAAATATTAAAAAATAATTTTTAACATTAATTATGGGCCTAAAAATTAAAAAAATTAATTTTTTACTAAATTTTACTCTATTTAATGATTTAAAATTATTTTTTTTTACTTTCTATTATAAAAATAAAAATTACTCAAAATTTTTTTTAAAGAATTTTTAATTAATTAAATTTTTAAGAAAAATTTAATATTAAATTTTTAAAAGAAAAATTTAATATAAAAAATATAAATAATAAAATTTTAAGGTGAACTAATAAATAAATAAAATTAATAATAACAAATAAAATAAATCCTTACTTGACTCAAGTGTTTAATAATTAACGCATGCGCAGAAGCTAAAAAATGCGTAAAAACTGGTGGGAGCACTGCTGTCATCTGTAATCTGGATCTGTCATCGGTGAGGGTGCTTAAGAACAAAATAAAAGGTAATTAATATTAATTACTAATAATGACAATGACAATGTCATCTTTAGGAATAAAAATAATAAATAATTAGACACTTACTTTTGATAATTGCGAGCTGAGTCGTGAAATTTGCTAGAGATATTGAGGTTAGATTTTAATTAATTATACGTGACCTGCACTAGGATGGCGTACATGGGGCACAATTACGGTGCTACGGACCAGCGGACGGTCCCCGATGTCGGGTTCAGCCCCACGGAGCTCTACAGCCTCACGGAGAACATCACCACGAATATCTATGCGATTAACGCCAGCTGGAAGTCCATGGAGCGCGCTGCCAAGCACATCGGGACCAACAAAGACACCCGGGAGCTTCGCGATCAAGTGTGAGTTATTTTTAGAATTTTATTTTATAATTATCAAAATTTATTTAGCATATTTGATAATTTTTAAAAAAAATAAATTATTAAAAAAAAAATTGACAAGTAGAATTTAAAAAAAAAAAAATTAAATTTTTATGACACTCAAGTTAACAATTTTTTAATTTTATTTAACAAAAAAATATAATATTAAAGTTAGCCGACGTTTTTAATTTTTTGATTGTGAAATTATAATTAGAAATTTTTTATTTATTTTACCTACTAAAAATTCTGGATTTTATTTTGTTGTATTGGCTGGTTCTGAGAAAATTTATTTTAGAAAATTTGTGTATTTGTCTTAAAAAATTACTGAAGTAATTTTTAGATAATTTTTTTATTAATTAAGTATTTCTAACAAAATTTATTTACAATTAATTAAAATACATTAATAAAATTTATCTTCTTAATTTTATTTTCTTAAAGAATTATTTGCAGTGATATTTTCTTGGTAAATTTCTGTATTCAAAGTTTTTTAAAGGATATTCTGTATTTTTGTTAATTACTTTAAAAATTTCTGTAATGATATTTTTCTATAAAATATCTGTATTGGATATTTTATATAACAATATCTGCATTAAATTTTTGTAATGATATTTTCTGTATTAAATTTCTGTAATAATATTTTCTCAGAAAATAACTGTATTAAATATCTGTAATGATATTTCCTCAGAAAATATCTGTATTAAGTTTCTGTAATGATATTTTGTTAAAAAATATCTGTAATGATATTTCCTCTGATAATATCTGTATTGATTTTTTGTAATGATATTTTCTCAGAAAATATCTGTATTAAGTTTCTGGAATGATATTTTCTTAAAAAATATCTGTAATGATATTTTGTTATAAAATATTTGTAATGATATTTTGTTAAAAAATATCTGTAATGATATTTCCTCAAAAAATATCTGTATTGATTTTCTGTAATGATATTTTCTTAAAAAATATCTGTATTAAATATCTGTAATGATATTTCTTCTGAAAATATCTGTATTGGTTTTCTGTAATGATATTTCCTCGGAAAATATCTGTATTGATTTTCTGTAATGATATTTCCTCAGAAAATATCTGTATTAAGTTTCTGTAATGATATTTTTTTAAAAAATATCTGTAATGATATTTCTTCAAAAAATATCTGTATTGATTTTCTGTAATGATATTTCCTTAGAAAATATCTGTATTGATTTTATGTAATGATATTTTCTTAGAAAATATCTGTATTAAGTTTCTGTAATGATATTTTGTTAAAAAATATCTGTAATGATATTTCCTCTGATAATATCTGTATTGATTTTCTGTAATGATATTTCTCCAGAAAATATCTGGATTTATTTATTTTTTTTAATGATATTTTCTTAAAAAATATCTGTAATAATATTTTCTCAGAAAATATCTCTATTAAATTTCTGTATTGATATTTTTCCAGAAATTATCTACATTGCCCCTTTCTAAGAAAATACATCTCCCTAAATTGATCTAATTTCTAATAATTACACCCTCTCCCCTTCTCTAATTTAGCCAAGTAACCCAAAAGGCAACAAACAACGTAGTAACCCAAACAAGCCGTGACATAGCCCGAATAGCAGTTCTAATGAAGCGAGGTGACAAGGAGCAAAAGTTACAAATAGAAAAGCTCACCACTGACTTCAAAGACGCCCTCAGAAGATACTCCGACATGCAACAGGTAATTTAAAAAACCCCCTAATTAATAATCACTTTCTAAAATCAATTAATTAATTTATTTATTTTCAGTCGGTGCTACAAAAAATGAAGCGACACGTTTTACAAGACGTCGACTTCGATAACTACCGCTTCGAAAGCGACGAAGACGAGGATGAGCAGATAGCCTTCGTAAAACAAGATCAACTTCGCCGGAACGAGCAAAGGTTAGTTACCTATTAATTTAATTAATCAATTAATATTATTAATATTAATTAAAAAAATTTATTTTAATTTTTTAGAGCCCTGGAATTTGAACAAGGAATTTTGCTGGAACGTGAAGACTTGATTCAGAAACTAGAGGGTGATATTTTGGACGTTAATCAGATAATGCGTGAACTTGGTGCTTTAGTTAATCAACAAGGAGGTTCAATTGGTAATTACTTTTATAAATTTTCATTAAAAATTCATTATTTAACCCGTTTTTTCATTAAAAACAAAAAAAAAAAGTTAAAAGTAGTTCTTTTAAATTCTGTAAGATGGCGCTGCGCGCGGCGGAAAAGGTAATACGTCACTTTGGCGCCAAAATTCAAATTGAAAAAAATTTTTTTTATTGAAAATTCACTTAAAAAAATTATTTAAACATTTTTTTTAATTATTTTCAATAAATTTAAAGAAAAAAATTTATTTTTTTATAAAATTAATTTAAAAAATTCATTGTTTAACCCGTTTTTTATTAAAACAAAAAAAAATTCAAAATAGTTCCTTGAAACTCTGTAAGATGGCGTTGCGCGCGGCGGAAAAGGTAATACGTCACTTTGGCGCCAAAATTCAAATTCAAAAAAATTTTTTTTATTTAAAATTCATTTAAAAAAATTATTTCTTTGGTTTATTAATTATTTTTGATAATTATAAAGAAAAAAATGTATTTTTCAATAAAATTAATAAAAAAAAATTTTTTTTTTCAGATACAATAGAAAATAGCATAGAAAACGTCCACGGAAATGTTGGTCTAGGTGCTCAGGAGCTTTCCCGAGCGAGTAGTTATCAAAATAAGTACCGTAAAAAAGTATTTTTCATTTTACTTCTAGCAATAATTGTCGTAATTATTTTAATAGTAATCCTAGTCACAAAATATAGTTAGCAAAAATTTTTCCCACTATAAAAAATTATTTTATACAATTCTAAATATTTATAATCTCTCATAATAATTATAAAGTGCATCAATAATTATTTAAAAGACTAATAACTAATTATAAGGCCTGTATTGTAAATTTTATTTGATTATTTTGTACAGAGACCTTTCACGTCATTCCAAATAATTTTTTTTTTAATTTACATTTTGTACATATTTATAAATAATCACTATCATTAAAAAGAATAATGTATCCAAAGTCATTTGTTAATAAAAATATGTATTAATAAATTTTCGAATTTTATTTTATCAAAATTATCCAGCTTAAATTTATTTATGTACATGATAAATATTTTTTTATAAAATTGATTATATAAATAAAAAAAAATAAATTAATTTTTATATTGCTTCCGCGATTTTATTCTCGATTGAAGCGTGGCAAGCAGTCCGGCAAGTACGTCGTGATTTGGTAATTTTTTAGCGAATAATAATCGCTTTACCGAGTCGTCGTAGGTCATCAGCGCCACCATATTTTGGAGAAGGAAACCTTGGCAATATTCCAGTAATTGGTTCGCGTTGTATACCTAGAAAATTATGGACATTAAAAAAAAAATTAAAAAAAAAAAAAAAAAAAAACTCAAGCCGGGAATCGAACCCTGTTCCGTCTGAATGTAAGTTAGTGACCCAAAAATTGACGCTCATGTCGATAAAATCATTTTTTTTACCTTGGCGTGGATATACATGGAGACTACATTATCCAGGTCGACTATAGAAGAGCACTGGGCTTCGCAGTATCTTAAAAGCCCGTCAAGCTGGAAGAAGTTAGCCGCAGCCATGAGTTCCAAGACGTCACTCTGGTTTACTTGCAAACTCGCGCAACCTCCGTGGTAAAGAAATTCCATTACCATCTGTCGATAATATTAAAATAAATAAGTAATGAGGCTGCATTAATTAAGAAATGACCTTGTAACTTGTGAATTATTGACATATTTTAAGATATAAGCTCATCCTGATGTTACCCTCATTAAGACCTTTCATTTGAGTACCCACATCAATTTTTCATATATTTTATATATTTATATATATCATATATATGTATATATGATAAATATATTAAAAATGCATGTGGGTACTCAAATGAAAGCTCTTGATGAGTATAACCTCAAGATCAGCTTATATTTTTGATATATATGTTATATATATATATATATATATATATATATATATATATATATATAT